ATACAATGAGCAGAGAAAGAGAAGTGAAGCTGAACTTGAACTCAAAATAACGAACCCTTGCAGGCTCACCATACGAGTTCTGTGCACTGTTGGCATGGGTGGGGTGATGGCATTCTTCAGCAAGAGGCACCAGAGACAAGTTTCAGTGAACATGTCCGCTGTGGGGAGCAACTCGGACTAGACTAAGTTACTGGAATTAAGACTTATTCTATGCATCTGCTCTCCCACAATATGGCTCTGGGAGAGGAGTAAACAGCTTCTACACAGCTGCTTCTCACCAACTTGACAAGCTGCAGGAGCTGCTCCTGATTGGAGGAGAGCAGCGTACTCGGTGTGTGGGTAGCAGAGTTGGGATTGGTGGAAGAGGACTATAAAGGAGGAGAGAGACAACATGCACCAGGAACATCTAAGGGGAACATCTGAATAACATCTGAGCAGCCCCCGAGAGAGCCGGCCGGCGGTGTGCCACTCCCCCGCGGAAGTGGGGAAAGTGGCAGGGGGAACCGCCCTTCCACGGAGGTGGAAGGATCGGTAGCCAACCCGGGAAGAACCAGCAGCAAACCCGGGGAGGGCCGAGCAGACAAAAGAACAGCGCAGGGTCCTGTGTCGTTCCTCCACGAAGAGGGGGAGCGACAGTCCGATTTATTAACGAGCAAGCACACCTTTTAAAGGTCAGGCAGAGGGGACAAAGAGCAGGCAGAAGGGGCATAGCTAATTCAGGGCAGCACTAATTCTATAGGATAGAGGCAATATTGGTGCTGCTGTGCTTCTCCAACCTGCTTGAAGGTCACATAGGCTACTGTAGCTTTCCTGATGGGCCTGGCCACACCCAGGAGCAGTTTACCTGGTTGGGGATGAGGGAAATGTGCCTGGGGCTCCTGACACCTGCCAGCAGTCAGGCTAACTACATGGGCTAGGCAGGCATACTCCCCGGTAGGCACAGGATCACCCACAAACTGTCTTGCTAGAACTGCCCTCCAAAAGGCACACCCCAACAACATAAAGACCACCTAGCAGCCCTACCTCCTAGCAGCCACAAGTACATCAAGTCACCACCATGAATCCATTAACAACTAATATTAAGACCTTAAAAGTTAAACATCTGCATGAGTTTTGAGGAGACAAGACCTGCTCAACCCGTAATAGAGGGCATTTGATTGTTTATGGTTTTTAGTCATTTTACCATGAATCAAATATATGATATAGTTAATCAATTGGAATTAGACTTTAAGTGAGAAGCTATAAAATCTAAGATGAAGATGGGTCAATATTTATATAATGAGGGAGGAGGGAGAAGATTTCTGAATATGACATCAAAGAGAGAAAGCTTTGACAGTATAAAACTGAAAATTGGGAGGGAGGGGCTGACATTATGACTCAGTGGGTAAAGCCCCAACTTGTGACACTGGCATCCCTTAAGAGTACTAATTTGAATCCCTGCTGCTCCAGTTCTGATGCAGCTTCCCGCCTGGGAAAGCAGGAGAAGAAAGTCCAAGTGTAGAATCCCAGATAGAATTTCAGACTCCTGGCTTCAGCCTGGTCCAGCTCCAGCCATTGGGGCTATTTAGGGAGTGAACTAGAGGATGTCTCTAACTCTGCCTGTTATAAACAAATAAATCTTAGAAAAACAACTCTGAAGTATAACTTTTAAAACCCCATACACAAAGTAAAAATAACCTAAAAATAAACATTGCAGTATGTTTGTGTATTGATTTTAGATATGTTCTTAATATTTTACAAACCAATAGGAAAAGACAATCTCTCCAATAAGAAATGATAAAAGGATAATAATAGTCAACTCAGAAGAAAACATTATGAAAAGGAAGAAAGGAAAGGAAGAAGGTAAAAGGGAGGAAGGAGAAAGGAAAGTGAATACGATTTCTGAATGATTTAGGAAGGCAGAAGGATGCCCAGACAAGGGCCAAGCCTCCCAGAGGGACTGCTCTTTCCACAGCTCTCAAAGCTGAAATGCCAGCGTGGAAAGACCGCAGACATTGGATAGGGCCTGGTCAGGAACTCGGCAGTGCAGTCAGCAACCCGGCCTCCTGGAGGCCTCGCCCAGGCCACCTCTGTGACCCCCGACAGGGCCTGGTCCCTGGGCCATTGCCATTGTGCGGTGGGCCTTTGGGGCAGGACACAGTTGCCGGCAGGACCTGGAGTTCCCACGGGACCTTTTGACAGTGGGATCCAGGTAACGTGCAGGTTGGGGGGGTCACAGGGTCTCCTATGCCCAGCACACGGCTCAGAGCCCTGTCACTTAGGACAACCGTGAAGCACTGGTCACTCATTGGGGTGACCTTGTAACTCTCTGAGTCACTTCCCCATGGAACTTCTCAGAGGCACTGCATGTGTGACGTGAGCACCTGCTGGAGCCCACGCAGCCCAGTTCTGTGCCAGGAGGGTTCAGATCAGCAAAGGAGCTGTAATCCGTCTTGGGGGAGCATGCGTGTAAGCTCTGATCTGGAAGAAAGGTCACTCATTAAGCCCCGCTGCCCCTTCTCTACCCCTTCTCCTGGTGGAAGAGAAGCTGACCGGGGTTGGGGAGGGCCCCATCCCACTGCTTCCCAGGGAAAGGGCAGACAGTCCTGTTTCCTCAGGCAGCCTCCAAAGCTGCTTTCTCCTCCCACATGCTTTGCACAGGCAAATTGGGATGTCATAGTGCTGCCAGGGGCCATATTGACCTGAACAGGTTGGAAAAAATCCCAGTGTGGGCCTCACACTGGATGGTCAAGACAACAGTAGCATGGGTGTCCAGCCAGGCTCCACCTGCAAGGGTTGGACTGCAGAGCAGGTGATCCTGCACCCCATGAGGTCAAATCACCGTTGACAATGGGGAGAACATTCCATATGGACACGGACAGCTCTGCTGAAATGCACAGCTCTGTAGACTGGGACCTCCCTGCTGTGCCAGAGACCTCAGACTCCTAACCTCCTGTGCCTGTGCCACTGAGGATGCTTGGAGACTCTCCCTCCCTCTCCCCCTGGACCAACCTCTGGGATCCATCACTCTATGCTCTACTTTCATCAGGTCAACCTCTCTGTGCCCTGCTCCAGCGTGCCCTGCTCCAGCCACAGGCTCAGCCCGAAGTCCGCCAGCTTGATGGTCATGTGCTTGTCCAGCAGCAGGTTGCCCAGCTTGAGGTCCTGGTGCGCCACGCGCTGGGCATGGCAATAGCTCATGGTGGCCAGCGCCTGGCCAAACAGGGCCCTGGCCTCATCCTTAGCCAGGCTGCCCTGCTCTAGCACGTAGCACTGGAGCGAGCCCCTGGTCGCCAGCTCCATGACCAGGAACAGGTGCGTCCTCGTGTGCCGCTCCTCCAGCAGCCGCACGATGTTGTCGTGCCTCAGGCTCCTCAGGATGGCCGCTTCCCCCTGCTCGGACAGCGGGCTGCTGGGAGAGGCGTCTCACAGGATCTTCGCTGCCACGTACTTGCCCGATGCCAGGTGCTGGGCCAGCTTCACCAGGCTGAAGCCGCCCCGGCCGAGCACGCCCACGAAGCAGTACCCGTCCAGAGCAGGATGGACGTCCAAGGTGCCTTCCATGCCGCCGGTCACCTAACTACGCTCTCTCGACTCCCTAACCCGCTTGACACACGCTAGCTAATCACCGACCCTCACTGCACTGCCTACAACACAAAGGGACCACGGGGGCCTGACTGCCCAGCTGACTAAGACACAGCACCAGCTACTCTCACTACTCTAGAGGCAAAGCCGCAAGACTATCTCAATAAAGCAGAAAACAACAAAGAGGAAAAGCCACTAAATCCTCGAACGCTGATACTTCTGAGCGTGCTAGCTGACTAGAGTGGGGGAAGCAAAAATAAAGAAAACTGCAAAATAAGGCCAAATGGGCAAAACAACAACGAGGAGGAAAACAACAAACTAAACAAAACAGGAAAAAGCAAAAACCAAACAGACCCAGAAACAAACAACCAAGAAAAAGCACAAGCAACACCAACGAGCGCAAAGGCTGGTTAGATGGGTCCTAGTTACGCAGATCACAAAAGAGTGCTCTCTGGGTAAGGCGGATGAAAACCCAGGCCCCGCAGCGGCCATATATACTTTTTGGGGGCTCACCTCACATAGTGGCGCCTTATGAAGTCAGAGCGAGAAACGGACCAATCCCAGCCCAGCCAGGGGCTCTGTAATAATACGACTTTCCTAACAGTGAGGCATTATGAAGTCAGAGCAAGAAATTGACCAATCACGGCTGCAGATAATTCACGGGGGGTTTCGCAGGAATTTTATAATTAAATTAAAAAGATACCCTAAAAGCTTTTGCCTTTGATTGGTGATAGGGATTAATACTTCATTTTTGAGAAATTCAAACCTGTAGGAGGCCTCAGTGGCCTTCAATTTCTAGTTTAAAAAATGATAAAATGATGGTAAGTTGGGTCTTTTGAAGATCTCCTAGTGTCTCCACTTAGTATATCCCCTCCTTTGCCTTTACCCTCTGAGTGATTGGTCTGTGAGTGATGGAACAACTTCTCTGGCCTCAGTAAACTCAACACGTGTTCTGTTGCCCAAGACACCGCCAGGTACACTGTCCGCATCTCTAGAGCTGAGAGGAAGGTGGCTTTGTCACCCTTTCCCCTAAGTCATGGTCAGATTTCTCGGCAGAAACCCCGAAGCCCAGAAGGCAGTGCGGTCCGTGCAGTCCAAACAGGGAAGGCCCAGTCAGTGGCAGCCGAGAAAGCTACATCCTCCGAGACTGTCCTCCGCCTGGTAGGGAGGACTCGAGGCTCTGCCAGGCACTTGGGGTTTTTCCCCTACTGTGACAACAACAACCAAAACTCCTGGCTCCCGCCTTCAGCCTGGCCAAGGCTTGGAGGTCATTTATGGGGTGTATCAGAGCTTGGAGGAGCTTCCTCCCTCTCCCTCTCCCTCTCCCTCTCCCTCTCCCTCTCCCTCTCCCTCTCCCTCTCCCTCTCCCTCTCCCTCTCCCTCTCCCTCTCACTCACTAGCACTCTCTTTTCCCCTCTTCACACTCACACAAATAGAATACAACTTAGAAAAGAGGGACTCCCTGCTTCAACTCCTCAGGACCTGCACAGCCCAGAAACGACGAGACTTGGCCGCATCACAGCCTCGGATCTGTCTCCTTAAGACAGCCTCGTGCTGAGCCCTCAGGACCAGTGTTTCTCCGGAGGAAGCCACAACCTCCTCTCAGGTAGGCAATGAGCCCGGGAACCCCGCCCCACACAGCAGGTGAGCGGTGTCTCCTGCAGTTCTTGAGGAGCCCCCAGGGCCCAGCACAGCCAAGAACACGTGGTGGTCCCTCTGCACCGACTGCCCAAGCCCTCTTGGAAGAGGAGCCCTCCCTGGGGAGATGACCCCTCCTCTGGTTGCCCAGGGACATTGCACGGTGCGATTTCTCTGTGATTTCTTGCAGTGCTGGTCCCTGCCTCAAGGCTGGGAGGAAAGAACCAGCACCCCAGGAATTCTGACTACAGTTTTATTAAATAAGCTGAAAGAACAATAGAGTATGAAGACTTTGGGGACTGTTTTCCATTCAGCATGGATGAAAACTCATCGTCCTAATAAGGTTTAAGCTCTCAAAGTCAGAATCACAAGTTTAAAACCAGCAGGTTGATATAATCTAAATATGAAAACCCAAGTTATTTTCAGCCGAGAAATCTACATCCTCCAAAACTGTCAGTACAACAGTAGGCAGGAATGGAGGAGTTCCTAGACATCTTGCGTTGAAGGCTTTTGTAACGAAATACCTTGACCTCCTAGCCTCCCCAACTCTTAATACTGTGGCATCGAGCTTGAAGTTTCCATGTGAAGTTAGGAGGGGTGTGGACATTTGCCACCGCTGCACCTGCCCTATGTGAATGGGCTGTTTTTAGGCTCACACTGGACAGGAAATCCAAGCTGTAAAGAAATAAGATGTCTGGTATGGCTAGTATTCTGATCTGATCAGTTAATGCTGGTGTACATGTTGAAATATTGTGCTGTAGCCCATAAAACTAGAAGTATTATATGCTAATCCCAATTTTAAAAATATTTAAATATTTATAAATAATGCTTTCATCAATGGTTTATACTTTCCATTGTAGAAATCTTACCTTTTCAATACAAGAATTTGCCTTTTCTTTGGTGTAGCTGATGGACACGGGTTTGTTTTCTTGATTTCTTTTCAAGATGTTCTCTATTTGTAACCAACAGTGCTACTGGTTTTTCTATGTTTACCGTGTAGCCTGCAGCTTTGCTGGGGATATTAGTTCTGTCAGCCTTCTGGTGGAGTCTGGGGGTTTTCTATGTATGAAATTATACTATCTGTAAACAGTGATAATTTGGCTTTCTCCTTTGCAACATGGATGCCCTTTGCTTGTTTCTCTTGGCCAGTTGCTCTAGCCAGGACCTCCAGTATCATGTGGAATAAAATTTGAATAATCAAAGAAAGAAGGGAGGGAGATGTCCAGTCTAATTTGTAATCAAATAAATTATTTAATTTATTTGTATGTAGCTTTTAAATAAGTGAATTATGTGGCATACCAATTATATCTCAATAAAGTTATTATTTAAAAAGTAACACTGGAGGTGTGTGGCAGCATTGTGGTATAGTGGGTTAAGCCACCACCTGCAATGCTGGCATTCCATGTGGGTGCCAGTTTGTGTCCCAGCTGCTTCACTTCTAGTTTTTAAAAATATGTATTTATTTATTTATTTGAGAGGTAGAGTTATAGATAGAGGGAGAGACAGAGAGAGAGGTCTTCCATCCGCTGGTTCACTCCCCAAATGGCTGCAATGGCCAGAGCTGGGCCTATCTGAAGCCAGGAGTCAGGAGCTTCCTCTGGGTCTCCCATGTGGGTGCAGGGGCCCAAGGACTTGGTCCATCTTCTACTGCTTTCCCAGGCCATAGCCAAGAGCTGGATCAGCACAGGAGCAGCCGGGACTTGAACCGGAGCCCATATGGAGTGCCGGTGCCATAGGTGGAGCCATATGGAGTGCTGGTGCCATAGGTGGAGGATTAACTTACTGCACCACATGCCAGCCCTCAGCTGCTTCGCTTCTGATCAGCTCCTTGCTAATGTGCCTGGGGAAAGCAAGGTGGACTGAGTGCTTGGGCTCCTGGTTCATCCTGGCCCAGCCCTGGCTGTTGAGGCCATTTGTGGAGTGAACCAGCAGATGGAAGATGTCTCTCTCTCTCTTTCTCTCTCTTGCTCTTTCTCTTGCTCTGATTTCCAAATAAACGAATAATCTTTTAAAAATAAATGAGTGAGGGGCCGGCGCTGAGCATAATAAGCTGTTTCCGCCTGTAGTGCCAGCATCCCATATGAGTGCCAGTTAGTGTCCCAGCTGCTCCTCTTCTAATCTAGCTCTCTGCTATGGCCTGGGAAAACAGTAGAAGATGGCCCAAGTCCTTGGGCCCCTGAACCCACATGGGAGACCTGGAAGAAGCTCCTGGCTCCTGGCCCCTGACTTCGATAGGCATGGCTTCAGATCAGATCAGCTCCAACCATTGAGGCTATTTGGGGAGTGAACCAGCAGATGAAGGACCTTTCTCTCTATCTTTCCCTCTCTGCCTGGAACATTACTTCTCAAATAAATAAATAAATAAATAAAATTTTTTTAAAAAATAAATGAATGAAAAGTAACAATAGGTGAAACTAAACAAAAATGCAGAGAACTGTATTATGTTTGCAACTTTCATGTAAATCTAAAAAATGTACATTGAAAAAGATGATAAATAATAAAGCTATCTGTACAAACAAAAATACAGCTAGAAAAGAGAAAAGAAATAAATTGTAACCCTAACACCCTTTTATAAATAATTAATAGTTTGTTAGATATATTTCCAGAATTTTTTCATTATATTTAAAAGAACTGAACAAATATCCATTTTCATATCTGAAGTGGCTACTTAATACTTTATTGTTATTTTTTTGAATTTTCTTGAAGGGCAGTTTGTGTGTATGTGTGTGTGGATGGGGGTGGGAGAGAGAGAGAGAGAGAAAGAGAGAGAAATCCCCTCAGCAGGTTCACTCCCTAAATTCCTACAGGACCCCAGCCGGGGCTGAAGCCAGAAGCCAGGAGTGCAGTCTAGGTGTTCTCCACGTGAGGCGGCAACCCAATTACTTGAGCCATCACTAGCTACCTTCAAAGCTCTGCATTGGAGGAAGCTGGAATCAGGAATCAAATCCACGCACTCCAATGTGTATCTTAACCACTAGGCTAATTGTCCACTCCCGCTTCTGAGTGTTTTATTACCACATTTATATAATCTCTTATGGTATACATTTATACTGCTTTAATTTTTTATCATTTTCAACAACACTGTGATTAGTGTTCTTGTACATCACTCCTGTATGCCACTGTGAATTGCTGAGTACATACACAGAGTGGAGCTGTCACCACAACAGTCACTCTCAGAACTCTGCCAACACGTCACAGTGAAATGCCACACCCATTGGCAGACACTTCACATTTCCCCATAGCTCTGATCCAAATGGCCTTTTTGTCTCTACAGATCTGCCTCCCCTGTGCATTTCACACTGAAGGCCCTCAGCACTGTGGAGGCTTTGGTGGCAGATGAGGTTGGACTTTGGTATTTTAGACAAACAAAGGGGCTGCCAGGGACTCGTGATGTTGCTCCTGGCAATGTGTACACCTTCCTGAGAGAGATGTTTGTTCAGAAAGCTCCCCCTTTTAGCTGGATTGCTTGTATCTTTTTGTTGAAGAGTATAAGTGTTCATTATATATTCTGGAAACAAGTCTCTGATCAGAGAGATAATTATAAATGCCATCTCCTATTCTGTGGGTTGTCTTTCCACTTTTTATGGTGTCCTGGAACCACACAAGTTTTAAGTTTTCATGAAGTTCAACTATGTTTTGTCTTATGCTGTTGAGCTTTGGACATCAAGTCTAAGAAACCATCGCCTAATGCAAGGGAATGAAAATTTATTCATTTTTCCTAAATGTTTACTTGCAAAATATATTTTTAAAAGATTTATTTTATTTATTTGAAATACAGAGTTACAGAGGGAGGTAGAGATGAAGAGAGAGGTCTTCCATCTGCTGGTCACTCCCCAGATGGCCACAGTGGCCGGAGCTGTGCCAATCCAAAGCCAGGAGCTTCCTCCAGGTCTCTCACACCGGTGCAGGGGCCCAAGGACTTGGGCCATCCTCCTCTGCTTTCCCAGGCCATAGCAGAGAGCTGGATCGGAAGAGGAGCAGCCAGGACTAGAACCGGCACCCATATCGGATGCTGGTGCTTCAGGCCAGGGATTTAACCCGCTGCGCCAAAGCCCTGGTCTCCAAAATATAGTTTTTAGCCCTTTCATTAGGTCTGTGCTCCAAGTTAATGTTTGCATATGATGTGAAGTAAGGTTCTAACTTCTTTTTCATGTGGACATCCAGTTGTTCCTGCAGCATTTTTTGAAAAAACTGTTTTTTTCCCAGTTATCATTTCTAGAGATAACCTCTTGGCTCTTTTATCAAAAACAATAAACTATAAATGTATAGGCTTATTTCTAGATTTTTTAGTCTATCAACCTGTGTATGTCTCTTCTTTTTTCAGTGCCACACAGCCTTAATTACTATAGCTTTGCCTTAAGTTTGAAATTAGCTTTGTCCTTTTTTTTTCCCACGATATTTTGGGCCATCTAGGTCCCTTGTATTTGCATATGCATGTCTCTGCTTCTGGGGATAAAAAACCTGGAATGTCAGTAAAGGATGGCTTTGAATCTGTAGGTCACACTAAGCTGAATGGTAGCCCAGAGAAAGGCATCTCATGGCCTGAATCCTGGAAACGATGAATGTGAAATTTGGTGGAAAGGCATTCTTTACATACGAAATTAAGCTGAAGATCTCAAAATGATATCATCCTGCTTGGCTCTAGAGAGGGCCCTAATCCTAGGAGTTATCCTGAGACGACAGGGAGGAGGTTTGGGACTTAGAAACACACCAGGACCTGTGAAGACAGAGGCTGAACTTGAGTCTTGCAGCCCCAAGCCTAAGGGACACTTGGAGCCCCCAGTGGCTGGAAGAGGCATGAGCTGGGGGTGGGGGTGGGGGAAGTACAACCTGGTGACAGCTTGGTTTCAGACTTCTGCCTCCACAACTGCAGTTTGGTTTTTATTTATTTGAACATATTTCAGCTGCCTGATTTCGGGCATGGCCCTGAGACTTGTGCTTGATTAGCTTAGTGGAGAGCCAGGAACT